AAGGCGTTATGTTCAGAGAAACATGCGAGAAATTCAACCAACTGGAAGCTTTTATTCTGGACGATAGTCTGGGGTATGAACGACACCCGTTTCCAGGAATTTTTTCTGTTTCTATTTCTCGGATATCTATTCTCGCTCTGGGTCATTCAGTGAGGCGTGAGGCCGTGTTACAACGAAAAACTAACTTTTTTGATGTTGGTGCGGCAGTCCTGTGTTCATATATATATTTGTGGTGGCCCGGTGGCCTGGTGGCTAAAGCTCCCGCTTCACACACGGAGGGCCCGGGTTCGATTCCCGGCGGGTGGAAACATTCCGACACGTTTCCTTACACCTATTGTCCTGTTCACCTAGCAGCAAATAGGTACCTGGGTGTTAGTCGACTGGTGTGGGTCGCATCCTGGGGGACAAGATTAAGGACCCCAATGGAAATAAGTTAGACAGTCCTCGATGACGCACTGACTTTCTTGGGTTATCCTGGGTGGCTAACCCTCCGGGGTTAAAAATCCGAACGAAATCTTATCTTATCTTATCTTATCTTACATACTCCCCTCACCCACGAATGTTTCATCACAAGAGATGGTGAATTTTGAGGCCATCGTCTTCCAGGAAATCTATACAACAGATTTTGGGAACCCATAAAAGTAAACTCGACAGAAAAACCTATTGGTGTTAGTGATGTGATCAGAAATAAGGCAATTTTCATTAAAAGGTGTCAGGAATACATAAAATTTAAGCGAGTTTCTAGAAAAACATTTTGTGTCTAAATATGTCTAGTAATGGTAGTGTTACTTTCCACTAGCGTTGGGATACATGCCCAACAGTTATGCATCATTATTCCGAAACATTTCGCCTACACAGTAGGTTTTAAGCCATGGATACCCAACGGAAGCCCTAATAAGACATGGATGCGGCCTTCACGTGAAATTATGAATTCACTTTCATATATGTCCCGCACTGCAGTTTATCAACAATTAAAAAATATTTAAAGCCAGTTTACACCAAAACCTTATCGCGACCTCTGACACCTTCCACTTCTAATGAGCATAATTTATGGATTACAATGGCAACTGCGGCCCTCCTTTAAAATTTGGTTTTCAAATTGACCCTTTCATACTAAAAGGTTGGAGACTACAGCTGTAGGCTCTAAAGCAACTTTAGCCTCCTGTGGATTCAAGATTGAACGTACATACCTCCTTGCTAGCTGTCTACATGTGTTTCTGCTCTTGTATGTAACTTAGAGACGAAGCCAACAGCTTCGGCTATCTTAGTGGTTTTAAACTTGATTGGCTCTTAGAACCTCGAACTTTCAGGCACCTTTTAACAATTTCGGAGCTGGTGATGGTTAAACTTTGCATGAGATTATCCTTTTTGTGCTCTGATTTGTTCGAATTTTTAATTTCCCAGGACGTGTGTTTTGTATATTTTGATGTATATAATGTTTCGTATTTGTTTTGTACATTTATTGCCATGAGAGCCAAGTTTTGTACCGGGTCCTAATCATCTTCGCCACGGTATCTGACCAGGTTTTAAAAATAGCCCGGGGAACAACAGAATTGCAAATCCTTTTGTCATGCTAAGAAACTGGGTGTTCAGCAGCATACTGAGCGAATGTTATGCTATGTTAAGAAACTGGGTGTACAGCAGCATACTGAGCGAATGTTATTCTATGTTAAGAAACTGGGTGTACAGCAGCATACTGAGCGAATGTTATTCTATGTTAAGAAACTGGGTGTACAGCAGCATACTGAGCGAATGTTATTCTATGTTAAGAAACTGGGTGTACAGCAGCATACTGAGCGAATGTTATGCTATGTTAAGAAACTGGGTGTACAGCAGCATACTGAGCGAATGTTATGCTATGTTAAGAAACTGGGTGTACAGCAGCATACTGAGCGAATGTTATGCTATGTTAAGAAACTGGGTGTACAGCAGCATACTGAGCGAATGTTATGCTATGTTAAGAAACTGGGTGTACAGCAGCATACTGAGCGAATGTTATGCTATGTTAAGAAACTGGGTGGACAGGAACATAAGGAACGAGGGCCGACGAAGCACACTTGGGAATCCAAGCAAACAGAAACATTAATTCACTGGATTCTTTTTAAAATAATTTAAATATTTGTAGTAGTTAAATACATTTTGAATTTGTAATATTAGTAGTTGTGACATTAATGGACCTCCCTGACCGTGTAGGTCAATCAACATTCATAGTTATACAAAAATACACCATAAAAACGAAGGCAACGAACTAGCACAAATATATCAAATTTAATTATCCACTTCAGTTGAGAACGCCATTAAATTGTTGCTGTCAAAAGACTGTCCTAAGAGCTCCCCAAGGTCCCTACAGGAATCTCGGTAATTAGAAAAAAGTGACAAAGGCTAAAAGGCCTAAACTATGGTCAAGCCGTTCAATGTGTTCTACAGATGTGTGCCTCTTATCCTCAACTGACAGATTCGTCTCAAAATGTCTTTCTCTTGAAGGACGAGGACCGAACATACATAACCAGCCGAACCCTGTTTAATATGTTCCAGTTTCCAAGGTTCATCAGGCATGTCACTTGCAGAAGATGTATCTCTGGATTTGGCTCATGAAGAAGCTGAGGCAAAAATCAACTGTAAAGTGCTCTTGCAACATCAGCCTCTGCCTCTGCATCCGGCTGTTTATTTCCCCGGACACGAACATGGCCTATAAACCAAGACAACTCCACATCTTTGTGGCCACTCGTGGAGAACCGTCATCCACTCCTGATTTTTTTGGACCACAGGGCACACAGAAACATACTAGGTTAGGGCTCCCCGAGCGCCTTTGTAACATACAGTAATCGATGCAAATTGCTGCGTATTTGCTGAGCAATCTAATTTACCTAGAGCACAGGCAACAACAGTGAAAAATTAGAGTACTTTATTAATTTCCATAAAATATAAGGAAAGAATTCATGCTTCAATCACACTAATATGGGCTATGTTAAGTCATTAATTTCAGAAACGAGGTAAAGTAAGCCATCAGTAGCATTTAACCACTGCTGACGAGTAAAAAAAAATACCCCACGAAAAGCAGCATCTTACAACATAACGGGACCCGCATCCGCAAGCTGGATCCAAACACTATCTGCTGCCTTGTTCGTAAATTCGAACCCTAAGCGTTATACGCAACTTAAATAAAGAGCAAACATATCTCGAGTTTGTGTGACTTTCCCCTCGGTGAGTTTTGTCTTGGTACATACCTGCAAGTGTGAAGAAAGAGGTTTTATATGGATTATTATTATCATAATCAAAACCTAGTGCTAAACTTGGTTTTATTTGTAGATTAGAGTAACAGAAACCCATCACAAATAGTATATACGATTTCGTCACTCCTGAACCTTGTCAATTAGACCAGCACAGAGATCCCAGCACGATTTTTAACATTTTTAAAGAATACATGAACGACCTTTGTGAGTGTTCCGAGTAATGGAGAAACTTCTGATTTGTCTGGAAAATACTAACTTTACTCTTCTGAACAAATGTAAAACTTTCAGTGTCATCCCAAGTTCTTGAATTTCAAGAGACACTAGATGATCTTGCCATGGAATTTGAGATCATAGTTATAGTGACTTGCCTTTTTTGAAACCTAGTAAGTTAAATGATTGAAAGTCTTACAAGTGTTCTGAATGCAAAGTTAAGGGGACTGTGGTCATTCCACTCCTGGGGAATGATAAACAATTAGATCAGAGGAAGGGAAGGCTGGCTAAACTTAACTGGATCGAGATCCCTTCAGCAGCAAGAATACTTTTGACCTCGAAGCGTCTGCTCATCGACCTGCACAAAAACTAGATAACAAGAGGCTCACCTTGTAATGAAGGATGACTGTGCTGGGGGCGTCACCTTGCCATGACCTGGTGGAAACACTGACGTGTACAGTCGGGGACCCTGACGGATACCACCAGGGGTGAAGACCGCCGGTAGTTAGACTACCGAAGACGGAACTGCTAAGAACATGGAGTACCGAGAAACTACCATGCCTGCAAATCAAAAATACTTTATAACAACTCAGAAACATGGTATATATGCCTAGTTTTATATTTCAGTGTACAGTATATATACACTTCATTATGTACCTAGTGAATTTGCATCGGATGTATATGCAAGAAAAATTTATTTAGGGATTGACATTCTCGACTATTGATGAACAGTAAAAATATAGCCCCAGTGAACTTCGTGCAGATAACAGACTTCAGACCTATGAGCTACAATCAAGGGAGGATACAGAAATTATCCGGGACATCTTGTTTGTACCAAGATTAGAGAAATGAGGACTGTATCTATGGTATACAGTACTGACAAGATGGAGTATTTAGCACATGCGCAACATCTGGATGTCTTTAATTTGTAGACGTTTCGCCATCCAGTACAATTATTATGGCCAAAGAAAGCGCTAAACTGACAAGGGTCACGCAACTCTGTGGGGCAGAAAATAGTGCCGGGGCTATAAACAGCTAGGTGGAGAGAGGACCAGAGGTGAGGGAAGAAAAGAGCTGGAAGAGACGCTAAGGGCCGCGTGACAAAATTCGTATAGTAAAGCAGTTGCCGACAAAAAGTCAAAAAGTGATCCTAAGTCAAAGGCAGGACCGTCTGCAAGAAGATAAGGTAAGAGTTGTAGGGCGGCGGTGGAGGTAAATCCTGCGAGCTCGCTGGTAAACCGGATAATATACAAGAAAGTGAAGAACCGAAATAGGGACCTGACGAACCTAACAGAGAGGAATAGGGTGTCGTTCCATGAGATACCTATGGATAAGGCGGGTATGGCCGATGCGGAGACGGGAGAGCACAGTCTCCCGAGTACGGCAACGGTGGTAAGAAGATGGCCAGAAACCTAAAAGCAGTTTAATAGTGTAATTTGTTATGGTGCACGTCCGACCACCGTTGTTGCCAACGGCCGCGAAGACGGGCAGAGATGACTGTAAAACAATCCCCTAATGCAATACCTCTATAGGAAACAGGAAGATCACGTACCTCTGACCATGCAGCAGCATCCACTTGTTCATCGCCCCGCACATCAACATGTCCAGTGATCCAACAGAAAAAGACGTCTTTGGTTTTGCTAGCCACACGACGCAACCTTAGTTGAATACGAAGGACCAATGGATGAGGGAAATCAAATTGTTTAATGGCTTGTAGAACACTGAGGGAATCTGAAATGATCACAAACGTGTAGGAATCATGCAGCGCCTAGGGAATGGAAGGCTCTCAGACTCAAGGAATCGGAGCACAAGTCCAGTTCTCTTAGATCCAGAGTCCTTCATCAACATTAAGTAACCTGTTATGAAGGGTAAAACATGGTCATACGAGGTTTTGCCAGTCTGAATAGCCAGTTCAGTCTTGTGGGACGGCAATCATGCTTCCAGCTTGCGTCCAGCAACCAACGGTCAGTATCCGCTAGTGACACATACTTACGAATATTTAGAGCAAATTACCAGTATTAAGCGGCTGTTTCAGCCGCTTAATACTGGTAATTTTTTTTTTTTACATTTTTTTACAAAGGGAAAATAATATATATATATATATATATATATATATATATGAGGAGGCTGGGGATGAGGAGAGGCCTTGGTATACCTGCCACCATCCCTGGATTGTCCCTGGATCAGCCAGTGCATTTTTTTTTCTAATCATAATTTCATTAGCAATTAAAAAATCATTCGAAAGTAATCCCTTCTCGTTAACTCTTTGTTTTAACAGTACATCTGAAATAATGTAATACACACACACACACACAACAAAATAAATAAATGAAGAGCCCTGCTTGTGCTTACCACATATTTTAATCTATTGAGCAATGCCAGTTCATCTTCATGATTTTTCGTAGTGAGGAGGTACGGAGCATCAAACACCACCTCTCGGTTCAGTAAGTGACGGACAAATGGAGTGACGAACTATGACGACCTTAAATACTGTTAGTGAATCCCAGAGTCGACCACCTTGAAGCTTGTAGTGAACGATGCGTCGCTGAGTTGTGAAGCTCAACACACCAGGTCGGTAGTTCTGAAATTTGAAGATTGCTGTTATCAGGTGGACTATTCGGGACTCTTGACTGTAAAATAAATTCAAAACATACAAGAAACCAAATTAATAATTTCCTAACAATTTAAAATATTACCAAAATGAATATATGATTCACCCGATAATATATGCATTTTCTCTAAGGTGAAATAAACAGTACTAGTTAAAAATTCTGCTAAATTGCCCATGTCAAAAGATTTCCCTCAAAGTTCCCGAGACTCCTACAGGCGCCCAGGAAATAAAATTACTGATATAAGCAAAAAGGCCTAAATCGTGGAAAAGCAATTGAAACGAGTTCCACCGTCATATTTAGGTTTAAAGCCTATCGATTGCTCTCGACTCAGATTTTTCATCTGTACACCCGTGAAAGATTATTTTAAACTATTTTTAACATCCAGGTATCCTTAATATATGGTGTACATGTTAAATTTAATCATAATGATGCTCTTATAGTTCATATATTTAACCGAATACACCAAACAGTTAACCTGTACACCAGTTAGGTTAGGAAAGATTCGTCGGGGAACACTACAACTGTTTCCTGACGCGGGTCTTAGTCATATGATGCCTCGCCACTGGAACCTTTGGTCAGCCCACCGAAGGTGATCTATCCCTTGAAAAAATATATATTTTATTAATAACCAAGTCGATCATGTTAGTGGGAGAATACTACTGCTAGCTCTTTCGAAATGAGTAATTCTCCTCACCTTCCTCAAAGTAATGCCTTTCCTTACAACAAGCAAGTGTGACGTTAAGTTCTGCATTCACGAATGGAAGCAAACAACATGTACGTTTCTTCTCCCAAAACACTCAAAGTAATAAATATTGTAGATTTTCTGAATAACACTGAATATTTTTTGCCTGACTATAGAAACAGGCGGGAACGTCGTACACAGGTAATATTCTTTCAGTGGTTATGTATTCTACATGTCTTGCTGTGAAGCCAAGATTTCTGTTCGTTGTGCTACTTGCTGCAAAACGCTGCTCAACAAGGGTCATACAGCTCTGCAGGTCAGAAAACAGTACTGGGCCTATAAACAGCTAGGTGGAGAGGGGACCAGAGGTGAGGGAGAAAAGGGGTGGAAGGGACTAAGGGCTATGTGTCAAAGTTGGTATATTAAAGCAGTTGCTGGCAAAAAGTCAAAAAGTGATTTAAAGTCAAAGGCAGGACCGTCTTCAAAAACGGAAGATAAGGTAAGACTGGTAGGGCGACGGCGTCGTTGGAGACAAATGCTGAGAGCTCCCTAGTAAACCGGACAATCTACAGTTAAGTGAATAACCGAGATAGGAACCCAGCTAAGCTCACAGAGGAATAGGGTGTCGTTCCATGGGATACCCATGGGTAAGGCGAGTATGGTCGATGCGAAGACGGGAGAGCACAATCTCCCGAGTACGGCAGCGGTGGTAAGATGGCCAAAGCTAAAAATGGTTTAATAGAGTGCAATTTATTATGGTGCATGTCCGAACCGTTGTTGCCAACGGCCGCGAAGACGGGCAGAGATGACTGTAAAATAATCCCTTAATGCAATACCTCCATTGGAAACAGGAAGATCACGTACCTCTGACCATGCAGCAGCATCCACTTGTTCATCGCCCCGCGCATCAACGTGTCCAGTGATCCAACAGAAAAAGACTTTTTTGGTTTGCTAGCCACACGACGCAACCTTAGTTGAATACGAAGGACCAATGGATGAGGGAAATCAAATTGTTTAATGGCTTGTAGAACACTGAGGGAATCTTAAATCACAAACGTGTAGGAATCATGCAGCGCCTAGGGAATGGAAGGCTCTCAGACTCAAAGAATCGGAGCACAAGTCCAGTTCTCTTAGATCCAGAGTCCTTCACCAGCATTAAGGAACTTCTCATGAGGGTAAAACATGGTCATACGAGGCTTTGCCAGTCTGAATAGCCAGTTCAGTGTTGTGGGACGGCAATCATGCTTCCAGCTTGCGTCCAGCAACCAACCGTCAGTATCCGCTGCAGTGATACATACTTACGAATATTTCCAGCAAATTACGAAAGATTGATTCTAAATTTTTTATTTCAGCCGCTTAATATTTGTAATGATTTTTTTTTACATTTTTTTTGCAAGGGGAAAATATTTTTTTTTACATATAAGCGGAGGCTGGGGATAAGGGAAGGCCTTGGTATTCCTGGATCATCCCTGGATCTGCCACTGGATGCATTAAATTTTCTAATCATAATTTCATTACCAAGTAATTAAAAAATCATTTGATAGTAATCCCTCTCTTTTCATTAACTATTTTTGTTTTAATAATACATATGAAATAATATAATATATATATATATATATATATATATATATATATATATATATATATATATATATATATATTCATTCTAGGCAGTAGGTTGGTAGACAGCAACCACCCAGGGAGGTACTAACGTCCTGCCAAGTGAGTGTAAAACTGAAGCCTGTAATTGTTTTACACAATGGTAGGATTGCTGGTGTCTTTTTTTTCTGTCTCATACACATGCACGATTTCAGGTATGTGTTGCTACTTCTACTTACACTTAGGTCACACTACACATACATGTACAAGTATATATATACACACACGCCTTTGGGTTTTCTTCTATTTTCTTTCTAGTTCTTGTTTATTTCCTATCTCCATGTGGAAGTGGAACAGAATTCTTCCTCCGTAAGTCATGCGTGTTGTAAGAGGCGACTAAAATGTCGGGAGCAAGGGGCTAGTAACCTCTTCTCCTGTATATATTACTAAATTTAAAAGGAGAAACTTTCGTTTTTCCTGTTGGGCCACCCTGCCTAGGTGGGATTCGGCAAGTGTGTTGAAAGATTATATATATATATATATATATATATATATATATTATATATATATATATATAATATATATATATATATATATATATATATATATATATATATATATATATATTGAAAAGCTATCTACCTGCTTAGAATCTACCTGGGAGTCGTTCCGGGGGTCAACCTTCCCGGGGTCCGGTTCTTGTGGATTAGGGCCTGATCAACCTGCTGTTGTTGTTGGCCTCTCGCTGTCCAACATACGAATCCCAGCCCAGCTGATCGGGCACCGATTTAGGAATCTGTCCCATTCCCTTTTGAAAGGCAGCCAGGGGTATTAGTAATTGTCCATGTCCATTGTGGGAAGGCTGTTGAACAGTCTTGGGCTCCGTACACTTATGATCTAGTGCTCGAGGAGGTTGACTTGTCTTGTTCCGCCTCAGTTTAACTCCTCAAACCCACTACAACTCCAACTTTTAAATGAACAAGCAGACAAACTAGCAGTGAACAATACATAATTGCTCGGTTATCTACCCACGCAGCGCGTACCAGCTACCCACGCAGCGGTACCAGCTACCCGCGCAACGCGTACCAGCTACCAACACAGCGGTACCAGCTACCCACGCAGCGGTACCAGCTACCCACGCAGCGGTACAAGCTACCCACACAGCGGTACCAGCTACCCACGCAGCGGTACCAGCTACCCACGCAGCGGTACCAGCTACCCACACAGCGGTACCAGCTACCCACACAGCGGTACCAGCTACCCACGCATCGCGTACCAGCTACCCACGCAGCGTCTACCAGTTACCCACGCAACGGTACTAGCTACCCACACCGCACGTATCAGCTGCCTACGGTGTGCGTACCAGCTACCCACGCAGCGGTACCAGCTACACACGCAGCGCGTACCAGCTACACATGCAGCGCGTACCAGCTACCAGCGCAGCGCGTACCAGCTACCAGCACAGCGCGTACCAGCTACCCACGCAGCGGTACCAGCTACACACGCAGCGCGTATCAGCTACACACGCAGCGCGTACCAGCTACCCACGCAGCGCCTACCAGCTACCAGCGCAGCTCCTACCAGCTACCAGTGCAGCGCCTACCAGCTACCCACGCAACGGTATCAGCTACCCATGCAGCGGTACCAACTACCCAAGCAGCGGTACCAGCTACCTACGCAGCGGTACCAGCTACCCACGCAGTGACACTAGCTACCCACGCAGCGGTACCAGCTACCCACGCTGCGGTACCAGGTACCCACGCAATGGCACCAGCTACCCACGCAGCGCGTACCAGCAACCGACGCAGCGGTACCAGCTACCCAAGCAGCGGTACCAGCTACAAACGCAGTGGTACCAGCTACCCAAGCAGCGGTACCAGCTACCCAAGCAGCGGTACCAGTTACCCATGCAGCGCGTACCAGCTACCCACGCAGCGCGTACCAACTACCCGCGCAGCGCGTACCAGCTACCCGCGCAGCGCGTACCAGCTACCCGCGCAGCGCGTACCAGCTACCCACGCAGCGATACCAGCTACCCACGCAGCGGTACCAGCTACCCACGCAGCTGTACCAGCTACCCAAGCAGCGGTACCAGCTACCCACGCAGCGGTAACAGCTACCCACGCAGCGATACCAGCTACCCACGCTGCGGTACCAGCTACCCAAGCAGCGGTACCAGCTACCCACGCAGCGGTACCAGCTACCCAAGCAGAGGTACCAGCTACGCACGCAGCGGTACCAGCTACCCACGCAGCGGTACCAGCTACCCACGCAGCGGTACCAGCTACTCACGCAGCGGTACCAGCTACCCACGCAGCGGTACCAGCTACCCACGCAGCGGTACCAGCTACCCACGCAGCGGTACCAGCTACCCACGCACTCAGACTATAAAATAAATCTGGGAAAAGCCAACAAGTCAGTACTGACGTAGCTCAGTAACACTCAGCACAATAAACTAGCAGTTACTGATGATGTGACCTATCATAGGTCCCTAGGCTACCCCCATATTCATATAACCTAGCCATGGTCGCTATACTGACTCTTCTAACAATGACCCAATAATGAAGTTATTATTCTGACAAACAATATAAAATACAAATTTATATAATCAATCATATCAATGATATATATATATATATATATATATATATATATATATATATATATATATATATATATATATATATATATATATATATATATATATATATATATGTCGTGCCGAATATGTAAAACTGGTCAATTAGCAAGAACTCATTTAAAATTAAGTCCTTTCGAAAATTTTCTCTTATACGATTAAAGATATATTTTTTTCATTAATGATAATGTAAAAATTTTTAATTTTGCAACAAAAGAATCTTAGAAAACTTACCTAACCTTATTATAACAAGAGCAATTTATTTTAGCCTAACCCAACTAAATATATTTTAGATTTGTTTACAATAATTTAATACTAAACAAACACAGTGAAATATATTTTTTTCGTTAGGTTCAAAATGATTTTGGCGAAATTATTGCATACACAAATTTTCACTTGTCCTATATGGCAAGATGAGCGTTGCTATTTAAGCCAAGATCGCAAATTCTGCCTATTCGGCACGACATATATATATATATATATATATATATATATATAATATATATATATATATATATATATATATATATATATATATATATATATATATATATATATGTATAATCAACAAACTAAGTAATGCCAATTGAACTTCATAATTTTCCGTGGTATGGAGGAACGGAGTATCAAACTCACCATTCAATTTAGTGACAGACAAATGGAGTGACGAGGTATGACGATGCTAAATATTGTTAGTGAATCCCGGAGTCGACCACCTTGTAGCTTGTAGTGAACGATGCGTCGCTGAGTTGTAGAGCACAACACACCAGGTCCGTAGTCCTGAAATTTGAAGTGTTGTGATCAGGTGGACTATTCGGGGCTCTTGACTGTAAAATAAATACAAAACATACAGGAAAGTAAATTAATAATTTCCTAACAATTTAAAATATTTTTTATTTTATTTTATTTAAAACAGGGAGATACACAATGATAAATGTATATTAAAAATCCACAAAAAGAAAGCGGTTAATTTTACAATAATCTCACACGACCAACGATACCGTACAATATAAAGGTAATACACCTTACACACAAACAAAGTATTGACAAAGTTTTTATACTCAGACACAACACATTATACATTATTAAAGAACATGTCTAACTATGTTGTATATACAAATGGCAACACACATGGGTAAGTATATATATTGTATAATAAATCATTGTGTTAAAAAACCAACACACAATAACACACACACACACAATAACACACACACACAATAACACACACACAATAACACACACACACAATAACACACACACCACAATAACACACACAATAACACACACACACAATAACACACATACACAATAACACACACACACAATAACACACACACACAATAACACACACACACAATAACACACACCAACATAGACATAGGTATTAATGAATCGACGACGAAAACGTCCAAATATAACAAATACGATGTGTTATTTTACATCTCAACAAATAATGTAATCAATTACATGTAATATCATATATTACATGTAATAGGAAAACACATCTATACAAATACCAATGATTGGTATACAAGAATAAAAAAGGCAAAACTCTTAACGTTCTACACATACAAAATTTTTAAATTTTTATTAATGACATCATCACATTGGAGACATACATACAACATTGGAGACATACATACAACATTGGAGACATACATACAACATTGGAGACATACATACAACATTGGAGACATACATACAACATTGGAGACATACATACAACATTGGAGACATGCATACAACATTGGAGACATACATACAACATTGGAGACATGCATACAACATTGGAGACATACATACAACATTGGAGACATGCATACAACATTGGAGACATACATACAACATTGGAGACATGCATACAACATTGGAGACATACATACAACATTGGAGACATACATACAACATTGGAGACATGCATACAACATTGGAGACATACATACAACATTCACAAACACAAGACATTTACACTCAATTAAACGCAGTTGACCAGCCCGTTAGATTACCCACTGAACAAACACAAATTATCTCAAATCCTTTAACTTTAACGCTCTATATGCAGACGGGAAATCTTTCTCCCATCTCCCCTCATATACCATTACCTTCAACATGCCTCATAGCCCATGACACAAATATAATCGGCTACGACATACGACACTGCACGTTGTACGCAGATGTCAACCCCACCCACATCAAAACTCAACGCCCTAAGTACCGACAAACCTCCCCCCCCCCCAACCATTCGTAAAACCCTGCTTAACCACGCACGTACTATACCTAAAGTTTCACAGAAATACACAACATTAAACGCTGATTCGTCCTCCCCGCACGCTGAACAACTCCGGTCCTCCTCTACACGCCGATTAGACAACACCACCTTGGACGGCAGAATCCCGTGCAAAAATTTAAAAACCACTTCGCGTACTCGAGGAAGGAGACGTAACTGCTGAACCCGCTTCCATATATCACACCACGCGTACATGGGAAACATTCCCTGAACTCTCACCTCAACTTTCACCATACCCACTCTTTCCAAAGTACTCAATTTAACGCTCCGCACGTCTCGCATGCACAGTAACACACGTAGCATCGTCTCGCACCTAATTAAATCTGTCCGTCCCCACCACCTGCGCAGGTCACGATACACTTCTGTTAAACCACCATTCCTGCCACCCAGTCGGAGAAAACGACGCTTCACATAACAAGCAATGACTCGGTCTCTTAAAGGAACAAGACCTAACCCTCCTTGACGCATTGGTGTCTCTACCACCGCTCTTGTGAGCCAGTCGCACCCTGAGCCCCACAAAAATCTATAAACTCTATTTAAAAGATGTTTGAGATCCCCCTGTATTAGTGGATACAGCGCAGCAACGTGCCAAACTTTACTATAAAGAAGAACATTAATTACTATCGCCCTCTGGTGTAGGGTTAAATGTCGTGGCCTGAGACTATTTAAACGCCTCAAAACACTATTTACCACCCTCCCCGAATTACATGCCCTCGTCTTATCAACCTCTCTCATATACTGTATACCTCATATGTTAACCCAGTCAACCACCGTCCACGTCTCTATACCTACCTCCTCTCTCGCCCAATCTCACAGCTTCATAATCTTTGATTTTTCTTTGTTAACCCGCATTCCTGTTGCCTTACCAAATACATCTACAAGTCTTCCCACAAAACTCAATTGCTCCCTCGTACGTACTAGGACAGTTGTATCATCTACATAACCTACTATGGCTGGTCGATCACTACCCGAACCCCACGACAAATCTACTCCCCGCCCACAAACTGTCCAATAAAAAGGGTCCTGCATGAAAGCAAAGAGCATTTGAGACATAGGGCATCCCTGTCGAATGCCTCTATTCAATTTGACAAAGTCTCCTAACTTCCCATTAATTTGTACTTGAAACCCAGCACCATTATACAAAGAACGAGCCCACATGATGACCTCATTACCAAACCCCTGCCATCTCAAACTTCCACAGCACCTCCCTTTCTACACTTTCAAAAGCAGCTTGCCAGTCTAAAGCCAAAACACCACCTCCGCCCCTCGTTCCGCATTCCTCGACAAACTCCCTGATATTCCCATGACCATCATACATCGTCCTACCTGGCACGCCAAACTGACCCTTATGTATTACCTTGTCAAACACTTTCTTAATCCTATTCATTAAAATTTTTGCATATAATTTATAATCGCTACACATTAGTGATATTGGTCGGTAATCCTTAAGTGATACGGGTATGTCACATTTTTTAACTAACACCAAAACCGCCGTACTCTGAGACAAGCCTAAACATCCCCCCTCCTTCAGCGCATTGAGTAAACGTACCAGAAAAGTCCTTATGACCTCACAATGTCGAATATAAAATTCACACGGAATGCCATCAATACCTGGCGCCTTGCCCTTGCACATTCCCGTATTGCATCCACGCTTACATCTTTATTTAGCATTTTGAAATTAAACCATTTATCAACATAATAACTTATTCCTTCAGTTATTACAACCTGACCCTCACTATACCCTTCAACGCCATCCTGCACCACTAAACTCACGATTTCGGTCGCCTTCCTCCTTTGTGTCTGACTACGTAAGACACAAGCGGACGGCTTATCACCCCACACAGCCTCCTCGACTCCACTCGAAATACGCGCCCCATCAAAAACCGTATTTTTCAGCACCTGGATGTGTTCCTTTAGATTGTCAATCTCTTCCACTGGGTAAATTCCAGATGCCTCTCCTTGTGCATAACAGTGCTGTAAAGAACCCTCCAGGTATCTCAAAAATCCATACTCCAATCGAGAGGCCTCCTTACCCCGATGTACATAAAAATCCCTAATTCGAGGCTTCATAACCTCGTCCCATTGTCGCACTAAATCACTACCTTCCAAGGAGTCTACTCCCATAGACGTCCATAAGTGCGTGAAGAGTGTCCTATCTTCCGCACTTTTTAGTAAACGAATATTTAACTTCCAATATCCTTTAAAACGAATTGGGAGACCTCTCCAGTCAAGCTCTACGAGAACACCGCGATGGTCGGAGAAATATACGTCTAACACACGCACTTTGGTTATAACTACCCGCCGAGACACGTACACCCTGTCTAAGAGCGCAGCATAGTCCTTACGCACGAAAGTGTGCTCAATCCCTAAGTCACTGCTTCCACTTACATCCACCAACCCCAGCCCAGACAACAAATCACCCAAAATAATCGAACAATAACCCGCTCCCCTCGGTTCTACGTCTTTACGGCGCACCACACAGTTCCAATCGCCACCAACCACTGTTATATCAGGCAGAGATCTCAAATAGTACACAAGAACATCGTTAACAAAAGTATTTTTAATATTAACATCATGTTCAGCTGGTCCATATACTCCTACAAAACCCACCCGTTGAGTACCCCACTCACCTATGACGCGTACCACGCGACCCCCTCCCCCCTTCCTCCCAATGTTTCATCACGAACGGGCTGGTCGCTTTTATTAACACAGCCACACCACCTTTCAGACGACTCAAGTGAGCCATATAAACATCATAACCATCTATCGCAAACGAACTTCCAACTTTATGGTTATGTTCTTGCACGAAACATACGTCTACTGCAAAGCGATGCAACCACTCATGAACCTGCACTTGCTTTCTGTTATTTTTCATACCATTAACATTTATGGTTATAGACCTAACTTTGCTAACGGTGGCTTTCCTCGAGGGACCACCACACCCTTTTTCCCTTTACGTTGACTAACGCCAAAGGCGCCACCTTTACCTTGTACATTCTCTGTGATATTACTCGCTGTCCTGGAACCACGCCACCCCCCACCCGTGACTTCCGACAACGTCTTCTTCCCAGAACGCTGTCCAGGGGTCAAGACATCGCGGAGTCGGGCGGGTAGCCGCACGCTTCCTAGAAACAGCATCCTCAGCTTTATCAGGACCTGTAATGTTCTCTTTGTGAACTTCTACCGCAACAGTATGAGCTCTCGGACCTTCTACCTCACTGACGTTAATTAACTGATCGACATCTTTTAACTCTGTTCTCTCCTCATCTGAACACTCCAACGCAGGCACACACGGCACAGAATCATACTCCTGCGACGCTAAAAGGTCGCTCAATGTCGATACAATGTTAGCTTCCATGTCAGTATCCCTCTTGCTTGAGGGCTCTCACGTCGACCATGTTCTACCACATCATGGTTGACCGTTCCAGGTAGTCACGCAGGATGAACTCACGAGCATGGCCCGATCCACCTCATCACTCCACGATTTCAGGCGCGGTAAGTCCTCGACTACTTCATCTGCCAGAATCTGACG